CTGACTAAAATCCAGCGAAAGTACAGCTTCGTCTACTTCGAAACTTCTGTCTTTTTGGGCAACACGTAGGTAGCTTTAAAGATCTGTTGCCTCCATCAGAGCCACCTCACGCAGAAACAAACCATGGTCGGCAGCATTATTGCATTGGTGTACAGTTGTTCAAGCGACCCAACTCAAAATAGATAGTAATGCATCAGGCAGATGGGACGATAGCGGCGGACTCGTCCATCACTGCAGCTATCTACTTATTAAAGACACTAGGGATTGACTTGCGAAGCTTTCACCGCCTCCGTCAAGGCTATGCTTGGTGGCGTATTAGGTTTAGAATACTGCCGAAGGTCAACGTACTTGCTTTTGGTCAACCACTTCAATCGCCTAAACGTGGTTATGATTTGGCGACGTGAACATGTGTTGCGAAAGCGAGTTTTGTGACAGTCGGTCCACCCCAAATGTGTTCGTAACTGGCGACGGCTAGAATGGCTTCGCTATGCCATCTTCCCAACGGGCGTTCTGCTGACGGTACGCTGTGAAGATGAGTTTTCAGACAAGCAGCAGCTCCAAATTGCCAGACGCTCATGTCGACATTGTCTTCAGACCCCTCACTACTTGTGTGTTTCTACCCATGTAGACGGCCGCGCATCTACTCAGCTTCTTGATGAAACTTTACGGTAGAGGCGGGTATGACTTGAGATCTCTTCCCCCCTCAGGTACCAAGCAAGCTAGGTACTCCAATGGGGTACTGACCGAGGCCCATACGGCGCTGGATTGACGAGCGGCAGTAGCTCAGACCCCGCGCGCAACAGCGGAGGAGAGTGTGTGAGGCTATCGTACGCCTTGAACAGAAAGGGGACCATTTTCGCTCCATCATATGTTCTTGTAGTCTGCACTATCGCTGTCTCTCTCGGCTGTTGGGTAGTTGATCTACAGCACCGATTGATGACATCGAGAGACGCTTGACGAGTGGTGAGTGAGATGCGCCGTTCACGCATCCTCCCGCACGTGTAGAGGTTGTGTCCATTGTTGTAGGGGGTCGGAGGCGATCGAGGGTGGCTGATGATAGGTTGTATGGCGTTGAGGAGGCTCTGTGGAGTGACTGGAGCACAACAGGGTGGTTTCCTCCGGTACGAGTTGGTATCGTTCATGTCTGTAATCGCGTAAGCCAGTAGTTGCCCATGAAGACTTGGGCATCTGGTGACCTCGGTCGCGCAGCCATAGCCGAGTGCGATGTGGACGTGCCTGTTCAGTGGGCGTGAATGGGTTGACCAGCCGATGACGTGATGCGCGATGCAGCTGTTGCGGTTCCGGGGCGTATGACTGCTGGTGGTAATGGTAGAGGCGGGCAATGCGGTGCAGAGACAGGTGGACACCTGGGCAGCCTTCTAGTGCGGCTCTCGGCCACGCGGGGGAGGGCGGAAAGTCTGCTTGGCAAGGCGCACAGACACCCGCGGCCATCGTCATCATCGCCAACCTCCTCGCCCTCCCCATCTCAATCACCAGATTCGATTCTGTCCATTTTCGCGCCAAACCCATCTTTTCCTGCAAACATGTTGGAGTGCGACAGGTCTTCCACCTTTTATGACCAAGAGCTGACCCTTCGCCACTCCCAGGTGCAGTGCTGTCCTGTCTTCAGGATGGCCATGAACCATCCAATTATCTGGTCTCGATCCGGGCATCATTCGATACGCCTCACACGATGAATGTTCCTTCCATCACAAGGACAGCTATTTTTGCGCCTCGCTTGCGGATAGAGCAGTGCTTTCACGCCGCTACCTGTCGCTTTTCACTTCTCATGTTACACGACTGATGGCAGGCTGCATGTTTCAATCTCAACCACGCAATGGCATCTTGGCACCGGCGCGCTCATCAAGCAAGCAAATTCGTCATCTCCTCGATCGTTTCTTTCCACCTGCGAGCCCGCGATTCGCACGGCCTAAATCTTCTCATATACTGTGTCGCTTTCTCCACACTCTTGAACTACTATCCAACAGCATTTGTCTGGCTTCCAGACGAGTCATGCTCTTCTGGTGAGCCTACGAGGATCCCCAAGTCATATCTGGTGCTGTAAACGTATCCGTCAGACACATTAAGCAAGGCCTGATACAATGTGATCACTCAATGAGAAGTACTAACAGCAATTAATGTAGCAGTGCCAGCGCCAACCGCTTCCGCCATCGACATCGACGCGTATCAGCGCGCAAGCATCAACAAGCCGCAGCCGACCGCCGACATTCGGGTATCGTCTCCTCTTCTGCACGCTCGGTGCCTCTGCAAACCCCTCGCCTCTCTACCTCCACCGTTTCCATCCCTTGGACTACTGCTACATATCGATAGTACTGCATCTCCACCTTCAGAAACATGCCTGCATATCCGAGATTGTCACTGGGACCTCCGGCAGATACGGTGTCGATACCCGAAGTCACGGCGCATCCGATCGATTCTCAGGCACCTAGCTTTCTCAACCTCTCGGGTGAGGCACGTAACATAGTCTACGAGCTGCTCTTCGAATTTGAGCAGCCGATAGCACTCTCTGTCCCGCCATCTGCGCATGCATCTCAGAATTATGTACCTCCAGTAGCGCTACTTTCGACATGCCGGCAAATCTATCATGAAGCTGTCGGCATCTTGTACACCCGCAACCGTTTCCTTGCCGCGACCGCATCGGGTTCCACATGGTTATCTGCCCTGAACCACACAACTAGTTGGCTTTTGGGACTGGGATCACAAGCAAGGCATCTTCGCCACCTAACCGTACACGTCGTTCACCGCGGTCGCGACCTGAACGAGCTGCAATCGTTCCATCCGGTTACCACCTCAAACGCACGGCTTTTCGAGGTCCTACCCCTGCTGCGCGCGCTCTGGGAACTTCGCTTGGACCGGTGTCACATCAAATACGCTCTTGCCCACCAGCATTATGCCAATGATCTCGATGTAGACCGGTCAGACGCGCTTTGTGCAGCAGACGCTGCCTTTGCTGCCATTGCCTATGGACCCGTCGCTCTGACTACACCACGAAAGCTGCTCGCTAGCGTCCAAATATCTTCATCCGGCACTTGTCTTCTTCGATTCAAGAGCTCAACAGAAGGGCTCGTGAGCTCCATCGAGTGTCTTACGCCAACAGGTGCATGTGCCATGTCCATCGAATGCCTCCCTGCGGAGCCTCGTTCTCTCCCTGATCTCGTCAGACACCCAGCAAAGAAGAGCCAGGCGAGATTGGCGGGTCTTCCCTTCAGCGTACAAGGTCGCATCGTCTCGGCGTACATGGCGGCTGCGAAAGAGCCGTCTTCGGCAATTGAAGTAGACCTTGGTATGCGCCGGATACGTGGCCTCGAGCACCTACACGTCTTGCTCGCTCTGAATCGCTCCTTTCGGCTGAAAGCGCTATCCTCCATCACAATGCTGGCCGAGCCAGTAACGGTGCGCCTTCCGATGAATACCACCTCTAAGGATAAGTCGGGTTTCTGGGACCTCCTTCGCTATGTACGCGAAGATGCCGGAGGTCCAGATCGCTTCGATTGTTTGCACTGGGCATTGTTACGTAACAGGCATCTGAGCATTTCTGTTACCTTTCAGCTCACCCCTACGACGACCCTGCGCAACGTCGAAATGGATGTGCATGGCTTACTCCAGATTGAGATGCGTCGCGAGTGGTCGTGGCCTGTCGACTTTCCTCGTCCCGATATCCCCATCCGTGTGCAACTTGTGCATGCACCTGGCAAACACTCCGGCCTCCAGACACTTCACACACGTCAATTTCTCCTTGGCCAGTTGAATGAGAGAATGCTATTGCTTCTGCGCGACGCCATCCAGACATCGACAATTCATTACCGCCACGGGATCAAAGTCAGCACCGATGGCCACGGATCAACTCCGCCTGTCAATCTCGCAATGTCGGAATACTGCAAGAAGTTTGGGGTAACGGCGCCCGACTGGCTTCTCACGAGAGGCGATCTGATCTTCTGGATGGACGGATTCGGTGAGCCTTTGCGTGCAGACTTCGCTACCTCTGCTGGTGATGTTGAGTTCTCGGTGCCATACTCGCATCCCGGACTAGCCAACAAGGCGCTGCGCAGCCAGGTAGACCGCCACTTGGACGAGGAGTGTAGTCACTTTGCCAGAGATTATCAAGAGGGCGTGCACGCAGGTCTCTACAAGTTGTATCACGCACAGGCTGAATGGGTACGTCTTCACTGTCCTCGAATCGGCGGTGGTCAACGTCACCAATAGCTACACCCCGTCGCAGTCTGCTTGAACTGGTCTCTTTCGTATTACTCTTCCTTCTCTTTTGTGTTTCTTTCCCATTTTTACCTTCTTGACTTTCTTTCCAGTTGGGAGGTTGGATTCACTCGAAAGGCGCAACCGATCAGACTTCATGTCCCAAGCATTATGTGTGCGCATAGTCTGCTGTACCGTTGGAGAAGATTCGCAGGAGCCAGATCGAACAACTATGCTTGAAACTCCTCTTCACCACCAAGATTCTATGCATATCAGCGTCGCCACCCGCAATGTCAAGGATTTGGATAGACATCTGAATACTTTCAACCACACCTCGCATCAGATGTCTCCTCCTAGATACCATGGTCCGTGCCCGCAATGAGCCAATACAAGACACGTATGCACCCTGCTCACAGTCTGTCCACCCTCATACCTCTGCGACGGCCACTTCCTTGTCTTGGACCCAGGCTGACCTTAGGGCTCGTTTCCTATTGTGAGGTGCGCTGTTTGCATGCGAGTGATTCAAGTGCTACCTTGGTCACCGAGCAAAGCTTACCCCGTACCGGTGACACGGTGCCCGCCACCGGACTGCCACAATCATGGGGGGCGCGAGATGAAGCCCGACCTCCTGATGGGTCGAAAACCATGTTCTTCCTGCCCCAGCTCTGGTACTCTATGAACGCATTTAGTCGAATGCTCTTTGTTTTCATGACGATGGCCATGTCTTTGGCTGACATGGGGACTTCGCTTGCGCGCATGGGGGGCAAGTGTGAACACACACGCTAGTCATGAACGTCTCACGATCTAGCGCCACGACCAAGGCAATACTGTGCCGCGAACTTCGCTGGCCTTGATCTGGATACTTGACAAGTATAAGTATATAGACGCACATCGGGACTGAGGAAGCGTTATTCCCGAAGATCCTGAAGGGCCAACTCCCGCCTGCGTTCACCAACAATTCCATAGAGCAAGCCTCGACATTGCCAGTCCACTCCATCGCTGACACAGGTGCAAATGATCTCATGGATCTTGCTGGTCTTGATCCTTTTGCGCCCGCTACGAGCAGCCGTTCCATGCAGACAATGGAGCCAACGAAACCTTCCACCAGTCCGCAAACCGACACTGAAGACTTCGATGACATTGCAGCAGCGATCAGTCTGATGATGATGCAGACCGCCGACTCGGCCAAAGACAAGTTCTCCTTGGACAACTGCCATTCCGGTGCCTTCGAAGCTCCCGAAATCCCCTCCATGCGGGCGACAGAACCGAACAAGAATGACATTTCGTTGGAGACCAAAGACTTTGGTAGTTTTATCGCAGCTACAACAACAAGAAGAGCGCGCCCAATTCGCATCCCTTCCATATTCACCAGTCATCGCGTTGCTGCTGGCTCTCCCGCTCTTAGCTTTGCGCAACAATCCACTGTGGTTGATGAACAGCTGCCACTGACCTGGCTCCAAGACATGTCCAACGGCCCTGAGTTCGGTGGCGGCGATGTGACCAATTGGGATGACCCCACACCGGAATGCTTTTCCGCACCGCCGCCTTTACTGGAGCGGGCTCCAATGTTGCCAACGCAAGCGGCTCTGAACTCAACTCACGACATATGTCTTCCATTGGACAACGCCACTTCCATAAGCCTGTGGCTCGACGATATCAGCAGTGGGTTCACACCTGAGTCCTTGAGTTCTTCTCTACCATCACCGGAGGAGCGCGCAGCCCCATGTTCGAGCCGAGAGTACGACTCGTCAGGGCTATCTCGATTCTGCGAATTGCCTACGATCCGACCGAAGAAGCGCAAGCGCTCGTCCTCCGTCTTATCAGATGTCCAGTGCGCACTACGCCCGTCCTGGAATCAACCTTGGCCCTCCTCATCCATTCTACCGGACCATGACGTTCCAGTAAGTCACAGCACGGTCAGCTGGCATCTATTTCTTCTATTGTGAGTCATTGTTAACGCAGCTTGCAGCAATTTGTCTATCCCGATATGTCAAACGATATGCATGCGACAGAGAGCCTATGGGAGGGCCCAACGTGCGTGGAGCAGGTCGACGACCACAACAACCATGTGAACGATGCCTCGTTGAACCATGCGACAGGTACGGCGCTGTACCTATCAGAAAGCCAGCTCAAGTTTGGTAATGATAGCTGCTATACGTTGGCCAAGTGATTGGTCTAGAAGGGGAGCGGACTCATTGCTGAATGGTCTTCCATATTTTCTATAGGAATCAATATCGTTTAATCGTATCCGGAATGGCTGCGACAAATTACGCCAAATTGTGAAGTCCGTACTAATATGTTTGCTCCCCCTTCATTTCTTTGCTACATGCGAGACGGTCATCAGTGGAGCGTCGACACTTTGGGCAATGAAGAACTCGACCGTATCCTTGAACCGGAATACAATCTCATAGAGACAAAGTGGCAGAAGCCGAGGAGTTCCAGCCGGCAGTGAACCTGGAAGCTTCCATTAAAGCGTCAATACGATCGGGGACGGATGCGGGCATTGCTGCGACGCTCCACACCCAGCTCTACTGAATGCATCAACACCGTCGTCCTTCGCAGGAGCCTATCCTAACAGCCATCGTGTTCATGGGTGAATTTCTGGCTTGCTGGCGCGATAGAAAGATTGTCAAACCCGATAGATGCTCAAAGAAGTCAGATAACGGGCCAGATCAGCATCGTCATTGTTTGCAGGCTGTCTACGTTACGAACGATTGCAAAGGGCACGTGGCACGCATTACGCTGTACCGTAGTCGTTACGTACTGGTATTCCCAGAGTATTTGCTCTTAATGTCTCGCATTGTCGTCGCAGCGACGCAAATTCTGAGTCGCTACAGTCACCTGTACAGTCGTCGCCAATATCCCCTAGTTCTCGCTAAATCGACCCCCTACACCACCCAGGCATGCGCAGTGCTTGTCAAAGTCACTCTCGATGGGTCGGGCAGATTTGATGTCTTGATGCAGAGCGCACACGATCGCACAGAACCAGGATGCGCGACATGAAAGCCCCTCACACGGCGTTCCAAAGTTGTCGGGCTCATATTCGGGTCAGGTTTCAGCGCGTGCCAACGCCACATCCGCCATCGTCAACAGAAGACCCAAACTCGTCACATGTTCCTCAATGATGGGAATACAGGCAGTCTGCCAGCCGTATTAACTGCTTCGATAGGCGATTTCGTTGTTGCTACTGCTCAAGATGGAGCGCTTGAATCTCGGTGATGTGTTGGACGCCATCATGACGCGCAGCCATGACCGGGGTAGCAGCGCGCGACCCACTTAATTGCCGAAGTGAACCTGAGCACCCGTGCTTTTCCAGGCGCGTCTTAGCGTGGGGTCAGCCGCCAGCTGCATCTTCAACGTCGTCTCACGATCTTCAGCGAAGCTCACGCCGTCTTCTTTCCAAGATGTCTTCAACACGCTCAACCTGTGATCAGTTCCCGGTTCCCAACAGCGATACTCCAACGATGCGACATACAGCTCCTCTGTCTCCTGATCTGACGAAGCACATACAATAACACGCGCGAGTTTACAGCGAGGAGATGAGGCTCACATCCATACGACTGGGCAGCACTAGTCCATGAAAACATCCCTTTTCCGGCTTTGTTACCAAGTAAGTACCTTGTTAAGGCTTACAATTTGCTCCTCGCTGTCCATTGTAAGCTGCAGGGCTGTCTAGTTTCTGCCTTGCATCAGGTATCTAGATCTTCTACGGATGCACTAGCGTCTACATCGGGCGCCTTGAACACGATGGGAATGAGGTATGGCTCAAGAGGGGCACTACGGAGACTTCGACGTGCAGGTGAATCAAGATCTCAAAGAGCGATTCTGGTTCAGCGCGAGAGGGTGAACCAGGCCCGAAAACGTCTCCTTCACCTTTGGTCTTTCATTCTGAACATTCCAAAGTGACCTGGAAAGATACCAGAAAGGACCGAGCATATTCCACATGCGACGCTGATCGTGACTACTTAAGCTTCTACTACTCATCTCGTCACCAAAACCTTTAGCAACATCATGGGCACCACCGCTACCATCACAATGCAGGCGTCTGCGCAACATCACCCTGTAACCACCCCAGATTCCACTTCAACCACTATCAATTGCGCAATCCTAAATTCACAACGTTGTCTACGAACACCCCACAGAGAGAGAAGACACAAACCCGACTTCTTCATCTACGCTGACAACTCCACGACGAATTTTCGGAGGCCGTTGCCGCGAAACGAGGGTGCACGCATCCCGCTTCGCGACAAGGCCAACCTCGCGAATGCGGTGTTGGTACCTGTGTATCGCCGTGCCGACACTCCTTTTGTATTCAGTGCCGCCGATTCTTTGTGGGAAGATGATGAGAACTACACGAGAGATCACATTGCGAGCCGTCCTGCACCACCGCTTCATCGCATATACGAAACGCTGCCGCCGACCGTCTCGACTCGCTCCAGGTCATCACGACGGGTGAGGAGATTAGCGCCTTTACATACCCCACCTTCCACTCCTCATCGCCGCACGACACGACGTCAGATATCTGCACCAAAGTCACCATTCGTACCGATATCCATACCGATTCGAACTGCAATGCACGGCCAAGTCAATACATTCTCGTTTGACTGCACGACCTCGTTCACACAACCATACATTCTGCCAGCGCTACGCGTTCATCATCCCATCAGCCCCTCGAAACCGGTATCCAATGGTACATCATCCTCTCTTTTGGCTCATAACGCCACGTCACCATCAACACATCCCTCCACCAACGAGCCTACTGGCGATCGCGAGTTCCGCCTGTCAATTGTCTCTTCGCCGATCGAATCTGTTCACGAAGCCCCGGCGACGTATGCTCCGGGGTACAACTAGCTCGGTGCAAAGCAAGCATGTGAGGACCGGTGTATGGCCGCGGTTCTAGTGCGTAAAGCAGCAGTCGCAACGCGAAGAGGACAAGAACAGTTGAAGGATAAGGGATGTAATCGTTTCCTTATCGACACAGGTCAGTTGCGAGCGTGTCTCTGATGCCTGCGTGAATTTCCTTTGCGACGAGACCGTTTATGATGATAGTCGTGTTATAGCAAGGTCTTGTACTGAGAGCTGTGATGTACATCTGCCACATTTGCCAAACTAGCGTCTTTTGACATATTGCCAACTTCATTGCGTCTGTATTATTCACTCGTATCGATGTTAATCGTCTCACAACAAAGACACTCGGTGCTTTGTATTTGTAAGAGCTAACTTCCCTGCCTGGAAAACTACTCAAATTCTCTCAAACTCTGCATGTTCACTGGCCATTCGCATCATATCCACCCATTCCTCTTTCGTCTTGCCCTGAAACCAGCGTTCCGGGGGCAACAACCTCATTCCGCCATCCATGTTTCGTTGGATCTCATCATCCATCTCTTTTTGAAAAGCGGCATCATTGAGTCGCCAACCTGATGTAGCCGGCATATCGTCTTGAAACGGTAAGAATTTCTTAATGTGGTTGTACGCTGCGGGCGAGTCTGGCCCCCACTTTTCGTGCCCACTGTTACCAATATATAGTCGGTTGCACGATGACGGCAATTTTTCGGCGACATCGCTCCATTTGTACCCTACGGTAGCGAGATAGATGTACTCGAAGCGAGCATATCGCAATTGCGACTGTCGGGAGAGAAAGGTGATGAGAGTCGGTGTGTCCAGAACCAAACTCCGTAGCTTCAAAGTTGTCAAGGCCGGAAAGACTAGCGGTGTAATGTCTGCTGAGTCGGTGGCACTGATGCTACGAAAGAGCCTAGCGATGTTGTGCTCGCCCACATCCGGTAGTTGGGGATGTGATGTAGTCATGTTGCGGAACTCGAATGTTTTTAACGTCCCCGATGAGCAACGAATCAAGGCAGCGAGGGATTCAGCTTCGTTGTTAGATGTGTCAAGCATGAAGTCGACACTCTCGGCGTTGAACGAAAGTGCAGTGAGAGAGTTGAACATGTGTTCCAAGGCGGCACTTGTCGTGATTGAAGATGGATCAATCTTGGGGAGAAGCAGACTCTGGATGCGACTGTTCGACGCTTGAACGGCGGAGCATAGGAGTTCAAGGTGCTTCCAGGTCGTGCCGCATCCAGAAAACTGCTCGTCCACTTCATCGCTGACTGCGTTAGTTTGGTGTCATGCAAATCATGTGGTCATACTCACTCGCCACCCTCTTCGAATCCATAGTCGCCCAAGTCACAACGCCACTCTTGGACTTCGATAGCTTTCAGACACGGCATATGTGCGAAGAGCTTGACCATTGCTGCCAGAATCGCGTCTGCCCTTACGCGCTGCTCCTCCACCTTGGCGGCCCAGATCGCTTCCGCCTGCTCGATCAATTCGCGCTCTCTATCGGGTCTTGCTAGTCGTTCCGCGGCGAGACGACGAATTCCGGCATACTCACCTTCAGAGTCAGTTTCAAAGTCTTCTTCATCATACATTCGATGAAAGTCCTCCTCGTAATCTTGCTCACGCTCTAGCCAATGGCGATACCTCGACCAGAACCCTGGGAGAACAGTCAGTATCCGTCTGGCTATGGATAAATATCCATCGGCTGAGCTTACCAACTACGTAGTATTTGGGACTAAACTTGAGCTTCCGAACATGCCGCGCAATGTCGTGCGCAATGAGCTCATCCACTGTACTTTCCAAAGAAACCAACTCCACCGTGCGTGAACGACCCGGGTACATGACACACTCGTCATTTTCCATCCTGCCAAATCTGCTCTGGGGAGAGCCATCTAGATGAATTGTGGCGAACATCAGCGGCCTCACAATGGTCGCAAAAGCGCGACATGTTTGAGATACTGAGCGCAGGTGGTGCTGGGGCAAATGTGAGAAGATCTCGAGGTAAAGTTCATCGGGAAGTTCCATGGTGATCTGTGGTACTTGAGACTAGGGAAAGACAAACGAGCGCTATATGTAGGAAAAGCGTGCGGTCGGCAGCAGCGCGGGCGTGACTGCGCGATGGTTTCGCGATATTAGCCTGTTCGCGTGAGGCACTAAGCAGCAAGGCAGCAATCTCGAAATGGAACACTGATATTGACGACGCGGCCCGATTTCATGAGTGCGTGTGCAGAGACACGATTATTGGTGGGTGGTGCATCCAGTGTTGGTGATGAGGACTTGGTGCCAGGCAGCAGCAGCGCCTAAGATTCGGCGACAAGGTGCGGGGCGTTG